ATTAAGAAAATTTTGGGCGATTTTTTAAACATTCTATTGAATAAACTAAGTACTAAGTTTTAGCTCAGTTCGACAGTACACTCATGAAAATTGAAGTGATGAATCATAGTTTTGGAAATGGTCTTATTTTGTGGGAAGGAAGATCCGACAATGAGATCCAAGTCTCTATAGAGAAGAAGACGAATTCTCTTCTAGTCGGGGAGAATGATGCGAGAGCTCCTGTGGAATCGCAAAATTGGGTATGTTGCTATCCGTGGGATGACGGGATTCTACAAACTCATGAAATTGGTTACTCCATGGGAAAAATATCATGTTTCTCTTTCTAATTGTAGCCTCAGTAGGAAATTTTACCTTTTTGGGTTGTCTTCTGTCCCGGGGCCCATTATTTGCTATTTTATTATTTCTAATTAGGGTTTAATTTTCATCTTCTTATAAATATATTGATTTAGACCTGGTTAAGGGATTTTTGCTATTATTATTGTATTTAAAGATTTATGCTCTCCGGAGTATTGTATCATCTTTCTTTTGTAAGTGGTGTGTTTGTATTTTACTCTGAGACAGATGGTGCATCCCCTCGCCGCACAGGCCTCACCATTTCGCATTTTTACAATTGCTTTCATTTCAAACAACCGCCAAAATCTCCGTTACCTGCTGTCCAAGAGTTGGTTTCAACTATCGACCACATCATATCCCTTCCAAACACCTTTGATTGCCCATATTTTCATTCCCTTCCCATTTCACAATTACGTCCTCCCAAAACCCACTTCCTAAACACCTTGTAGGAGTTCTAGAGCTGTATCATAAGGTAAAGTGGTCGGGTTCGCCAATTTGGTTATATGATTTTACGCGCATGTCACACTTGGCATATTTTTGAGAACATTCAATGTCTTTCCGGATGTAATCAAGGGGAAGATCTAAATCTAATTTGGATAGACGCGTTGAAAAAGATTTGTATTATAAAATTAACACCTCATGTAAAACTTAACAATAACAAATGAAAACTGCCAATTCATAAAAACAACCCCAAATAATGGGATAAGGCTAATGGTGATAATGATTAAACTTGCTCAGATGACTTCATTCTTTTGATATCCTGGTAATAATAACATCAACAATGTTGCAAAGTTACAGGATTAAGGCTTTGGTATATGCAAAGGCATGTATTTTGGGCTATCGCTAACCTTTAGTTCTAGCAACTTGAAGGAACGAGAGAGGCCAGGAAAGAGTGGAGAGGGAGAGGGAGAACTAAGTGTAGATAGAGGATTCATAAGAGTAGCGAAGATGGTGATAAATCGAAAGAGAGAAAGATCTCGAAAGGCTTTATAGACTTTTATTAGAGGGAGATTAATAGTTGCTTCTGCTGGTCAAGGGTTTTAACAAGCTTAGCTTTTTGTTTGTAAAATTATCAACATTCTTGGTCGCCCCATCAAAATGGGATGGATATATTTTTAAAGTTCCTGTGATCTTGTTTTATTTAGCAATTGTAATCATATCATTCATTCTTAATCCATAATTAAGATGTAACAAGATCATGATGCTAGTGATTTAAATTTCAAATGTGTTTGAAAGAAGAGCTATTTAGTTTATTTATAGTTACGAATTCAAAATTTAATAAAACAAAACAAAGTAGTTGAAGGATAGAGAAAACTTCTACACGGTACTTTACTGTTATTAAGTGAAATAAAATTCTCAATTAATGTTGATTATTCCAGCATCCAATAGTCATATGAATTGTAGGCGCGTTATGTCAGGCTTTCATATTTATTAACAATTCATCACTTCATTTGCTTTTTTTCATTAGGTAAGCTTTCTCCATATATATAGGCAATGGTGACATATTATTGTTTCTCATTATTTTATTGTTATGAAAAACGACAACAATAAAGTGAAAAACCTAATCGAAAAATTGCAAACCAGAAAATAATACACATATTTACGTGGTTTGACTAATTTGCCTACGTCAACGGAGTTGCAGAAAATTTTAGTACTTCGAGAAATTACACCGTCAAATTCTTCGACTTCCTTTCTCTCTTTCTCTCTCTCTCTCTTAGCTCTCAAGAGGACTTGACTTCGCACTTATGACAGACCAAAAGAGGTTATTTAAAGAAACAGGAAAGAGGTAGCTGAGACACGGTAGATGAGGTAGGTAAGTGTAAGTCACAGACTCCATATATTTAACAATTCTCCCACTTGGAAACTGAGACATTGACTGCACCACCTACAGGCTGCATCATCTTCTGGCTGTACCGACTTTTTACTTCAAACACCTCTGCAACTCATGGCTCCTGTCTTCACGTTGGAAGACCAACTGAAGTCGAGCATAACTTCAATTTCTCAAGAGTAACACCCTTAGTCGACATATCAGCTTCAACATAGTCTTGTACCTCCAAGTTCTTTCCTTGGTTATTTCTGCATCTGCTAACAATTCCCACTGCATGAGCAATATCTTGCCTCAACTGAAAGCCCTTTTCAACAAGTTCAGCCTTGTTCCTCTTACTGCCATCAAGCGTAGTCTTCGCCCGATACACCCACTTGTTCTGTAATGTCTTATTCTCTGGTGGGAGTTTTGTTAGCTCTCACTTGCTCGAATTTTCATCTTGCAAGATTTTTTCATAGCTCTGTGGTTCACCACCATCTGTTTGTAGAACAATAGAAATAAATGTTCCAGACCTACTATCCTCTTCACTTTCATCACTGTCCTGCACTGTGGCCTCTGGTAGATCAACAAATTTTACGATTCTACAGTAACTAGAGCCTCCAAGAGATGCCACTAGAGAAGGTCCCCACACATCTGTGTGTATAAAAATCCAATTTTCCTTGCCTTGGCTCTCTGCCACCTTTTAAGAAACTGACATTCTTCTGTTTTCCCACAACGCACCTCTGACTCATGTGTCCACGCTTGAGTAAATTTGTAGTCATATATAGTGTGTTAGTTTTCTTACCTCGAGTCAGTGCTAATGTTCATTTGGTAACCTTCTAGGTGCTATCTGAGAGCACTACTGAATGACCACCCTCATTGAGATGAGGTTTTTCTTCAACTCAGGAACGTGTCTGATCTTTTGTAAAGTCTATTTGCTCTTATTAGGGAGTACAATATCAACGTCTCTCATCCCCACCACGTTCAGAGTTTTTCCATCAGCCAAATATATCTTCCTAAAGTCACCTGCAACATAGTTTCATATCAACTCTTGGCGGGAAGATGTATGGAAGGAAATCCCTGAATCCAGTATCTAGTCATGAACAGAACTGTGAACTGCCAACAATAGTGCATCCTATATTTCTTCAGTTACCAAATTTGTACTATCATTCTCCTTCCTCTTAGGATTATTACAGTTTCTTTTTATGTGGTCAGCCTTGTCACAATTCTAGTAGGTTGTCTGCTGATCATACTTTGATTTTGATCTTCCTTTGTTTGAGTTCATATCCTGTGATCTCCCTATGGAATCAACAATCAGTGCCGAACTCGAACCCAAGGTCTCGCCAGCATCTTTCCTGCGCATCTTCTCAGCCAAAATCAAATCACGAATATCATCATATTTTAGTTTGGATTTATTCACAGAACTGCTAACTTCCATCATCATGACTTTCTAGTTATTTGATAATGATGTCAACAATATCAACGCACGTATCTCATCATCAAAATCAATTTCAATAGCGATAATTGATTTGTGATAGTATTGAAATCATTCAGGTGTTGAGCAATAAACAAACCCTTCGCCATCTTCAAGTTGAATAATTTTTTCATCAAGTGCATATTGTTATTCACCGACGGCTTTTTCATATATATCTGATAAAGCCGCTATGAGATCTGCAGTAGTCCTCTTCTTGATAACGTTCTGAGCAACAAATCTTGACAGGGTTAATCGTATAACCCCCAGAACCTGTCGATCTAATAGATTTCTTTCCGTCTCGTCCATTTTTTCCGCCCTTTCTCAGTAGCGGAAAATGAAGTTTCTTCCCATAGAGGCAGATATCTATTTGCAACCTTCAGTAATCAAACTCTATGTCATTAAACTTCTCAATCCCGATACCGTCACTTCATCTCAGCCTATCGTTCTTACTTAGATCAGAACCAAATCTCTGATACCAATTGTTATGAAAAATGACGACAATAAAATGAAAATTGGATCGAAAAATTGCAAATAAGAAAATAACTTACACAAATTTACGTGGTTCGACAAATTTGCCTACGTCTATGGAGCTGCAGAGGATTTTAGTACTTATAAGAAAACTTCTTTTCTCCCTTTTAGCTCTCAAGAGGACTTGGCTTCACACTTATGACATGCCAAAAGAGGCTATTTAAAGAAAACGGGAGAGAAGTAGGTGAAGAGAGGTAGGTGGGAGAGAGGTAGGTGGGACGCGGTATGTGAGGTAGCTAAGTCATAGGCTCCATATATTTAACATTTATGCTTGGTTAGTATTTCAAGAAAAAACTTAATTAGAAAGCCATAATTTCTCTAAGTTTAGCTTTTGATGTGCGGTTGATTATATTTAATACTAGATGGAAAAAACAAAAAATCTGTGATTTTTCTGTACAAGTGTCTACCCAAAAATATATTTGTTCATGAATAAAATTTTGGAAAAAACTACTTACATACCACACAATTCCCTATGCAAGTACATATATAACACCTAAACTTCAATTTTTACTTGTATGCCACCTTATCTATGCATAAAAATTTGTATTTCACTTTATAAATGTTAAAATAGTGGCTTTTTTATGTGATACGAAAAATATGGGTAGTATTAGTGTAAAAATTAAAGTTTTAAGTGTTAGATATGTAAAAACATAAGAATTGGGCGGTATGTATATAAATTTCCCTGAAATTTTCCCTGCATTGGTCAGCAAATACCAGTCCATAGTATTGATTTATTCCCACAAATTAAACAAATTTGAGTTAAAATATGCCCGTTTATCATTATTTTGACTACTTCCACAGAATTTCTATGAGGAATCCTTAACAGAAACTTTCTCCTGCTATTTTTTCGGTGCCATGCAGATATACTTCTTAATGAACATGCAACTTACAAGGGATACTCTACTCTACTCCAATGTCAAGCTGGACTAAGAGCATTATGAGGTATGAAAAGGAGTGGCCTTTCAAACAATGAAAAACAATTATAATTTTTTTTTTTTATTATATGCTGTTTCGCCGTACATTTTCCTGATAATATTGTAATGTCCAGTGTGATTTCATATACTTGGCAGTCCTGTCTATATGAATGTTCCAAGTTATGGCATTAATAGTCGATTAAATTTTCTTTTGTTGAGCATATGCTTTTCTTACCTTAGTGTCAGATTTTTCTTAGGACAGTTTTCTAAGCTGCAGTTTGCATTCTCTTTTTTTGAAGCTAGAATTTTGAAGTAAATTCTCTGAAAAACAGAAAGAAAGTTATCCTGTTTTTTGCAACCGAACATACATTATTTGTTTGTTGTCTTTTCTAAAGCTTATTTGATATTTACAGTTTGGAGTAAATGAACATTTTTTATCTGCCGGTTTATCTCTTGCTTCTTTGTTTAAGCAGTTATGGCAGATTTTTTTATCTTACTTGATATCAATCTTTTAATCTAATAATTTAGTTCTGAACACACACACCCACCCGCACGCACGCACGCACGCACGCACACACGCATATATGTTTATTTATTTATAGATATTATGGTTTTCAAATTCAAGATTAAAACCATTTACCTTGTTCAAAATTATGAAGGATTCAAAGCTATTACTTAAAAATTGATTTCAAATTGTTGAGTTAATTTTATTAATTGTATATGTCAAAATTTATACGAGTAACTTAAGATTTTATGTGGTGATTTCAAGGATTTGGAAGTTGGAAATTTTACATGGCTAGAAAATAAATGAACATGTTTTTTTATGATATATATAGTTTATTTGATGGTTTTTATATGTGAAATGCATGAGTAAAATTAGATTATTTTTTTTTTCTTGTTTATTTTATGAATGGTTAAATTATTATGAAAGTTATTGAAATTATTGCAACAAGTAATTTTTTCATTGTATATTATAGTCAATATAATCTTGAGTTTATAAACCAAGCAAAATATTCATAAAAAAATGAGTTTTTTTAAGCAATGGGAAGCCCAAATACTAAATGGGCCTCATGGACCTAATGAATCGAGTTCTGACCAGGCTACTTGTACTCGTTAGCTGTATCTTTGGAGGTGACTAGTTACATAGCTTCTTGTTGCCCAAAACAATCTCACGAGTATTTTCGAAGCTCGTCGGGATTCACATGAGCTCCTCTGATCGGGCTCGCTAAGCTCAAGTGTTCAGGCAAGCTTGCTCATATTCCCCTAGTTGAGGTGACAAGTTACTAATTGAATCCTCCTACCATGCTTGTCGATAGCCACCTAGATACATCAGCGAGCTCGATGAATTGTTTTTTGAGGTAGAGGGATGAGAATTCTAGTCCACCATCATGTAATCATTTATTGGCTCCCTGACGCCCACATCATGGATCTTGTCAACGACAAGTGTTCTTGGGCTCCTTATTGTACATCCTATGACATAGTTTTTTATTTTTTTTCCTTAGAGCCCTGCACGGGCATATAGGTTTTATGGTGTATGCATAAGAGGAGAAAGGGAAGGGATAGGTGGACGCAAATACTAGCTCTCTCTCGCTCTCTCTCTTCTCTCTCTCTCCCCCTTTCAGGCTCTCTAAAAAGCTCTTATTCTCTCTAAGAAGTCCCTCGGCTTGTTTTAACTTCTTTCACAAGTCTTTTCCGGATTTTATGAGTTCACAAATCATATGGGATCATATGTCCCAAAATGAATTCAACAGAAGAATAAGCTTTAGAGGACAATAGTTTTTTTCCCCACCCCGCCTCTGCTTTTGGGCGCGTGTGGACATAATTGGGATCCATCAATATGGTAGGTGTTTTATTCAAATTATTAGATGTAGCCATCAAAAAATTTGGTCACGGGCAGACAGTATCATGAAGTTCAGGAAGATTTACATAAATACCACTCAATTTCTATGTATTTTTTCATATCTAACATCCATACTTCAAGTTGTACATAATATCACCTTTTCCATGCATGAAAACGTGTATCTCTCTCTTTAAAAGTTAATGGTGTCATTTTTTATATGACATGGAAAACTGGGATAGTATAAATGTAAAAAAAGCAAAGTTTTAGATGTTAGATATATAAATACATAGGAATTGGTTGATATGTATGTAAATGCCCCTAATGTTTATACAGACCAAGCATACCTTAGGCAGCGATGAAAGGCAAATGTTTAGGGACATATCAATGCAATCGAATCCTTTCTCAACAATAGAGGATAAACCCAAACACCACAAGTCAAAATCTTGTTCAACTTCATGCATCTTAAGCTCAAAGCACCTCTCTTGGCCAACACTGAACATCTTTCTGCATCCGGATATCCTCCTCTCAATTACTGATGACAACATTTTTATCTTTTGGAAAATTTGCATACATAACACACGATTTCTTGTGTGTTTTCATACCTAAACACCTAAACTTTTATATTTACATTTATAAAACTTAGGTGTCATAAAGTTATCTATGTAAATGTGTATTGCACTCTTAAAAGTAAGTAGATGTGGTATTTTTTATTTGATATTAGATATTAAAGATTTGAGTGTCGCATGTAAATATAAAAGTTTAGGTGTTAGATATGTAAATAGAAAAGAATTATGTGGTATGTATGTAAATACCCCTCGTCTTCTTTCCCTCCTAGTCTCCTTCCCAGCTTCTCTTGTTCATGGGTGACAATATATGAACTCACATCCAATGTACTTTGAACACATCGATGCGGTGAAACCTTTCTTTCCGAAGATGTGGGAGGTTCGCTATGGGGAATGGACTCGTCTTTTCAAATTTGAACTTGAAGAAGACTTAAATATATATAAAGCGAAGAATTTTAAGAAGTCGGGTTCGAGCACTTGCCAACATGAGCAATCTCTTGTTTCCTCCTTAAAGATCCACAAATTAGTGTTTGATTGTGATTTCATGAACAGCAGTTTTGTTTGCTTATTGTAGAATAGCTTATCCAACATCACTGCTCGATCCCACAGACTCTTAGCTTGATTTTGCTGCCTCTTTAGAAGTATTCTATTCTCAAGTTCTTGTTGGACTGAGCGTGCATTTTATTTGAAACAATATTCACATCTACACACCCGAACAGCCAACAACCGGGTGCATCATCGCCCGCTAATGAGATGTATGACGTGTCGTCCGGTGGTTGGCAGTCCGGACGTGCGGTGTCCAGACGAAATATTCTCTTATTATTTTAAGTATTCTGAGTGTACTCGGTTCTTTTATTAAATTCCTACATTTGTTCGTCACATTTTAGTTGCTTTATTTTAGCAAATTTGAATGTGATTTGGTTTTGACATCAGTGCATTCGTCTCATTACGATGTTCAATCGAATTACGAATTTGTTAAGAGAACAACATAAAATTTATGGAAAATTTATATGTGTACATCAATACATGCAACACAATTCTTATGCATTACATATCTAACACCTAAAGTCTAATGATTTTTATTTATGACACATTGGTATAAATAATATATGCATGAAAATGTGTATTTCACTATAAAAAAGCTAGAAATAATGTTATTGTTGATTTGATGCCCAAAATCTGATTGTTATAGAAATATACAAGAATTGTGTGGTATGTATGTAAATAGCCCTAAATTTATTTATATAAAATTGCTATTAAAAATTAAATCAAAATTAGTAGTTTATTGAATTTATCATATGATTATATATTCGCATTATTAACTATTAAACTGTTTAAAAAATATATATTTTTTTAAAATAAAAATACACGTTATTTTTCTTATTCTAAAGAGTTAAGCACGAGAAGACAACATTTTAAATTAAATATAACTACTCTGCTTTTAAAATACTCAAATTGCAGGAAGATATTTTATTTAATTGATCCCATAATTATTCTGATTCTAAGACTCATAAAACCAGGCTGGAAAAACAAAATAGGCTATTTGGAACTTGTTTCCGCTTCATGACATGGAGCGATTGCTGCGTGCGGAGAGCGCACGCAGAGCTGTGTGCGCTCTCCGATCACAGCCGCACATCGCGGCTATATGACAGTGCGACCCATTGTCATACACCCGCGATGTGCGGCTCGGACAGCGCACACAACTCTGCGTGCGCTCTCCGCACACAATAATTAGACCATGACATGTGATTTGAGGTTGGCCACGGCTGCCCTTAGTGGTGGGAAAAAGAATTTACATTCCATAAATAAGATGTGCGGCCGAAAACTTGGATTGTGTCGTGTAGTCAAATGCATAACATGGTGTGATTCCAAATGACAAATATAATATTTGATCCAATAATTACTCTGATTCCAAGACTCATAAAACCAGGCTGGAAAAATAAAATAGGCTATTTGGAACTTGTTTCCGCGTCATGACATGAAGCTGCGTGCGCTCTCCGATCACAGCCGCACATCGCGCCTGTATGATAGTGGGTCCCGGCCGCACATCGCGCCTGTATGATAGTGGGAAAAGGCGGGACCCACTATCATACAGGCTTGAGGCGATGTGCGGCTGTGATCGGAGAGCACACGCAGCACTGCGTGCGCTCTCCGCACCCAATAATTAGACCATGACATGTGATTTGGGGTTGGTCACGACTGCCCTTAGTGGTGGGAAAAAGAATTTACATTCCATAAATAAGATGTGCGGCCTAAGATTTGGATTGTGTCATGTAGCTAAATGCATAACATGGTGTAATATTTTATCTATAAGTGAGGGACCAATGCATATGATTAGAAGAATAATGAATTAAATATTAAATAGGATTATACACATTTCGAGAAAATTGAAGTCATCAAGAAATCCATGCATATCACAACTCTAAAAAAAAGGACGTAGCAAGCAAGATGTCACCAAGTTATGGTAATAGTTCGTTGCCACAAAAGAAAACTAAATGCCATCATTGGGTGTAGTCTGCAAATCCAAAATAGAAAACATCCACAAGATATCATCAAGTGTAGTATCTATGCAGGCCAAAGAGAACAAAATTGTGTAAGATATAGATTTTTTATGGCAGTAGGAATGCCATCCTTGTAATTCCATTTCTTACTCTTTTGTGTAATGACAAAGTGAATTTTGTCCAATATAATATATAGAGGAGAGATCTTTCCCCTCTAAAAATTTTGGAATTTTTTTCAAGTCAAATTAACATGACCGAGTACTTGAGAGAAATTACATCTCAAATGGAAGAAGTCTTCGTTGGATATGTTGCATTTA